CAGAAATAGTCCCAATGCAACTGTTTTATAATAACTTTAGCTTGATTTAGCAGTTAAGTAATTCTTCCTCCAGCTGACTCTAATTTGCCATTTAACATATCCATTGAGTATTTAATTTCAATGATCATATGCAGTCTTGAGAATTTCCTTTGGTTCTTTTCAAATAATACAGAGAGAGAGAGAGAGGAGAGAGAGAGCGCGCATGCTTGCTGGCTCATTTCTATCCTGTTGCATATTTTTCAGCATTTTATTTATAGTTATCTTTCATTGTGATTTTAATATCTGAAGTCCTTGGGAGACTCTAAATCTGCTTCATATTTCCACTGTCTCCTGTTCTGGTGCTTATTTGGACCTGTATTTGTTTTATCTAATTTGTTGGAAATCAGAGGGCTCAATGGGGCATGGCTTCCAACACTGCTGTGCTTTCACTTCTGCCAAGAACTGAGGCAAATTTGTCCAGAAATCTTAGTACTTCTGGTTCAATATAAACATCAAGTTCATTTGGCTCCCTGACCTTAGGCCTGGGAAAGGATGTGAAAACAGACTTGACCTAACCTCTAGACCACTGTATTTGTTCTCAGGGCTAATGCCTCTGTGTGCTTAGCCATTTCATCTGGATGGCCCTTTCCTCTCTCTTCAAAGGCCTTGGAAATTTCCTTCACTTTTAAAAAAAATTTTTTTTGGGGGGTCCGGTTGTGGGGCCTGAACTCTGGGCCTGGGTGCTGTCTTCAGCTCTTCAGCTCAAGGCTAGCGCTCTACCACTTGAACCACAGCACCACTTCCAACTTTTTTCTTTTTGCTTATGTGGTGCTGAGGAATTGAACCCAGGGCCTCAGGCATGCAAGGCAAGCACTCTACCACTGAGCCAACTTCCCAGCCCTCCTTCACTTTTTTGGAGCTCTAGGTTGAATGTTTTGTTTAAATGTACTCTATCAAGAGAAGCCTTTCAAAATACTGCCGTGGCTCAACTACAGAAGGTAGAAATCCTTTCATCTGATATAATACTTCATCCATCTTTATGGAGTCCCTACTTTGTGTAGAACCTGGGCTCGGTATCTGTGGGGGAAGTAGATATAGAGCAAAGTGTACTTCTTGCCCACAGCAAAAAGGGAAAATGGGCATTACTTTTTTCTGTGAGTACTGGGGCTTGAACTCAGTGTCTCAATGCTCATGCTTGGCTTTTTGCTCAATGATGGCATTTTACCACTTGAGCCACACCTCTACTTTTGGCTTTTTGGTGATGACTAGCAGACTTTCCTGCCCAGACAGGTCTTGATCCTCAATCCTCAACCTCAGCCCCCTGAGAAGCTAAAATTACAGGTGTGAGCTACTAGCACCTCATGGAAATGGGCATTATAATAAGGTTGCCACTTGGGAATAGCGGTGCTTTTGGAGGAGGAGGAGGAATGAAGAATATAACTGTGAGAACAATTCTAACAGATGAGCAGAAGGTGGTGAGGCCGGATGGAGAGATGCTGAATGAGCCAAGCTGGAGGAATGTGGGAAGCATGGGCCAAAGCTGAAGGCACGAGGCTGAAGGGTGTGGCCAGGCCAGATTTCCATCGGGATTCCATTTTGAAGAAACAGGGTGGGCAGTGTCTAAACAGAAGGGAAGAACCAGTAGCTTTATTTTATTTAGTTTTTTTTCTGGCCAGTCCTGGGGCTTGAACTTAGGGCCTGGATACTGTCCTTGACGTTCTCTGTGCTCAAGGCTAGCACTCTACCACTTGAGCCACAGCGCCACTTCTAGCTTTTTCTGTTTATATGGTACTGAGGAATTGGACCCAGGGCTTCATGCATGCTAGGTAAGCCACCTTCCCAGCCTCCCAGTAGCTTTCTTTTATTTTGTGGTACTGGCAATGAACTCAGATGGAGCAGAAAGTACTCCACCCCAGAGCTACATTGCCTGGCAGATTCAAGTTACACAGCAGCAAGGTGGTTTAGTGACAGGAGGGGCCAGAAGGAAGAGAGGGGACTATTTCAGCTAATGGAAGAGCCCGTAGCCAGGAGAGAAATAGTGGAAAGAGGGGCTGTCTCCAGGGATCTGGGGCTGTCAGCTATAGGCTCCTCTGCTAAGGCTGGGCTGCTTTTCCTTGTTCCCTAAGCTCAGGTGGGCAGCACCTCATCCATTTCCTTCAGCCTGCTTCAGTAACCCAGTCTGCTAGGTTCCAAGCTGAGCTGCATCAGTTTGGCTCTTTGCAAACAAAACCCTGAAAGGATCTGCTTTCAAAGGGATGCTGATTGAATCCCTGGTTACCAGGAAACCACAGGACAAGCTGCAATGTCCCATCACAGAAGATAAAGAATGCTCCAGCAACTGCCAAGCCTTCTCCCACCAGGATTCCAGCCAGCTGTCCTTGATGTGGCCTGGCACAAGAACTGAGCAGATGTAGGAATAGCAGCAGCTTCTTTGGTGCTAGGCACTGTGCTCAACACTCGTCCTATGATCCTTTTGGGCTGTGACATCACAGGAGTTCTCACTTTATGGCTGAGAAGGGAAACATTTGGGCAAACATTGCAGGCCAAGGCTGTGAAGCTAGAATGCTCATCCTGGCATGGCCACCTCTCCAGGGTCTGGGGACCACGTGTTGCCTTGAAACCAAGGCTGACAGTAACAATGGTTCCCCTCATTTTCCCTCCCCGTAATGATTTGGGAGTAATTTTACATTTAAAAGTTGTAGAGTATTCCCATATACCACTTACCTGGCAGCCTGGATCTCTACCAGATTACATTTACTGTGATGCGTTTGTTAAAAGAAATGAACATTGGGGCATGCTCCTCACTCTTCCATGGGTTTGGTTCTTGATCTTCATGCTATATGACCATTTGAGGATTCTGTAGGCTGTCGTTAAATGGTAGACTTCTGCCTAGATTGGGATTGTGGATCTTGAGGAACAACGCCACAGTGAGCTGCTCTGTTCACTTGGTCAAGCCAGAAGGCACGTGTCTGACACCAACCTTGGGCTGTTGGTGAGCCTGGTTGCTTCAACAGCAAGTTACTATCCTCCCCCGTCCATATTCTGTTATTTGCAGTGAGTCACCCAAGCCAGCCCACTGTAAAGAGTACCTCTTATGGAAAAGTTACCCACATACACCACTTGGAATCCTTTTTAGGTTTATAACCCCTTTACCTTGCTTGTTAAAAGTTTTTAAAAAGCTGGGCACTGGTGGCTCACACTTGCAATTCTAACTACTCAGGAGGCTGAGATCTGAGGATCATGGTTCAAAGCCAGCCTGGACAGCAAAGTCTGAGACTCTTCTCTCCAGTTAACCACCAGAAAACTGGAAGTGGCACTGTACCTTGAGTGGGAGAGTGCTAGCCTTGAGCTGGAGCTGAAGGACAGCACCCAGGCCCAGAGTTCAAGCCCTACAAGCAACTGGAAAAAAAAAGTCTACTGCTTTCCTGCCAGGGGTGGCTTTGAACCACAATCCTCAGATCACAGGATTACAGGTAGCCATTGGGACCTGCCTCATTTAAACTTTTTTTCTCTTTCAGTTGTGGGGCTTGACAGGGCCTGGGCACTGTCCCTCAGGTCTTCAGCCCAAGGCTAGCACTCTACCACTTGAGCCACAAGGCCACTCCTGGTTTTCCGGGTGGTTTAATGGAGGTAAGTCTCATAGCCTTTCCTGCCCAGGCTGGCTTTAAACCGAGATCCTCAGATCTCAGGATAACATGATCGAGCCACCAGACCCAGCTTAAATAGATTTTAAAGGCTGACTTGTCCGCCACCATAGGTTAAGTTGGCAAGGGGCCATAAACTAGAGCCTAGACCAGGTCTCCAGTTGTAGTGGTTTGGTTATCCTGACAATACACCTTATCTGGAAATACAGAGGAATGAAGTTCTGGCACACAATGTAGATGAAGCTTAAACATATATTATGCTGGGTACTTTAACTCTGACTCAAGACCACAGAATGCCCATAGCATTTTGAATATACTAAAACCCACCAAGTAGCATCTGAATTGCATGCTGGATAAAGCTCAATTAAGCTGCAGCTCAGGGTTTCCACCTCTGTTAAGTTACTTTGTTTTCTTAGCTAGATTATAGGGGAAGAGGACCATCTTTATCACGTTTAGGATTCAGAGATGAGTAAAGTAGGGTCTGCACAGACATACCCAGAGCTGCTTCACTCCAGTACACCCAGGGCCTCAGGCTCTACCATTTGCTTCTTCCGTCTGACTTCACTGTACTGCTTACATGATGGCACCAGGTTTGCTAACAAACCCCTTGTAGAATGTGACTTAAATTGCTGCATATTCTTAGTGCTCTCACCTCTAGCCCAGGCCACACCTGGCCTGGCCAACCCTATTCCCCCTCAGCCCATCCTCTAACCAAGGCCTGCAGCAACCAAAGGAACGTGCAGAATCATCTTGTCATTCTGTCCTTGGAACTGGATGCAAGCTTCCGGAAAGCCAGAACTTTATTTTTACTGCTGATGAAAATAGGACTTGGTGTGTATTTGTGGGGCAAATCTTTATGTACTTTATGTACCGACGTGGAACAACCTCCAAGATGTGCCAAGTGAAGCAAAGCAGTCGAGCGAGCTCCCCAATTCTGCACAGACGGTGTGCGGGGAGCTACACACCCACATGTGTTTATATATGGCTCGGGTCTGGAAGGCTCCTCTTCTGCTTAGGCTACACTTGGATCAACAGTTCCCACTCTGCTCTGGCTCTTTAAGAATCCATCCATTTTTAGAACATCTCCACTTGCAAAACAAGGTCTTAAAGGCCTGATTTGCTTTAAATGACAACTTAGAAACTGTGTGGAAAAGACCCAATCACAGCACTCGACATCCCTTCTCCCCACCAAAAAACCCCACCAGTATGCAGAATGCAGGCTCACCTGTCCCACCAAGGCCCGAAACAATTTTGCTGTGTTCTTCTCAAGCAATCCTCTGACTTGTTTGGCACTGCCCAAGGACCTCAAATCAGCCTGTGCCCTAGAAAGAAGGAAACAAATACCCCTGGCCTCTACCCAACAAGAAAACACTAACATTTAAGTAGCACACAGGAAGGCAATTTATTAACAGAAAATAATTTGAGGAGTCCAGTTCACAGACGACGACCACGGCGACCTCCCTTCCTGCGGGTGCTGTCAGAGGGGATGGGGGTGACATCCTCTGTGGGAGAGAAGGAAATGCCATCAGCTACAGCTGAACAGGAGGTCCAGGCTTCCTCAGGCCACAGGCTGCTGGAAGCAGACCCTGATGTTTCTCAACATGTGATCCTAGGTCCCAATAGGTAAACGAAGAGCTGCCCTACCTAATTCCTCAGATTTTGGAGTCTCAACTCAGTACCAGAAAGGGAAATGGCTCCAAGGGGCCCACGGGATGGCAGGAGAGGAAGGGCACATCCAACTTCCTGACACCCGTTCACCAGCACTCTAGGGCAAATACCTTTCCACTGAGCACTGTGGAAGTCTCCTTTTCAGTTGGTTGGAGGAGGCTGAACAACAGTTTGGAAATATCTTTTTTTTTCCCCCTCTGGTTGTGGGGCCTGAACTCTGGGCCTGGGCGCTGTCCCTCAGCTCTTCAGCTCAAGGCTAGTGTTCTAACCACTTGAGCCACAGCACCACTTCTGGCCTTTTCTGCTTATGTGGTGCTGAGGAATCAAACCCAGGGCCTCATACATGCAAGGCAAACCCTCTACCACTGAGCCACCTTCCAAGCCCTGGAAACATCTTTTAAACCTGGTCAGATAACTGGAACTTTCTAGACCAATGTCAGGACACTGTACAGAAAGAATAGGGCAAAAACCTCCTCCTTCCAGAAGGGTCTGGAGACACTGACATGAGGAGTTACTGCCTTTTCCTCCTCCATGCTTGGCTGTCACCGATGACATGTCTTACTGCTATTAGTAGGCAGAGACCAAGGCTATTGCACCAGATTCAGAAATGGCACTAAGATGTCCAAGGCAGATGGAAAGGATAGTCACATCATAGCTATATATTCAGGGAGTTTAAATCTCACTGTACCTTTGCAACTCCTTTTAATGAAATGGCAACTAGACCAGGCTTGAGTCCTGGTGAGCACATCACATGGCTTTGGGAGTTAAATCATTAAAGCAACTGGTGTTCGCCAGCAAGAGCACTTACCAATCCTCCCAATCTTCATACCCGAGCGAGCGAGGGCCCGAAGGGCTGACTGGGCTCCAGGTCCAGGTGTCTTGGTCCTAGGAAAAGGATTGTAAACTAGGTTAATGAGAATTCTAAGATTCCATGTCATCTAGTTCAGTGATCTGAAAGCCTTTTGCCTGGGCTGGCTTTGAATCACAATCCTCAGATCTCAGCCTCCTGAAGAGCTAGGATTACAGGCGTGAGCCACTGGCGCCTGGCTTCTGTAAGCTTTTTGAAAAGGGCCATACTTAAGTATCTTAGACTTTGTGGGCTGCTATGGTTCTTTTTTTGCGCTGGTTCTGGGGCTTGAGCTCAAGGCCTGAATGTTGTTCCTGAGCTTTTCTTCTTCATTCAAGGCTAGATTTTTCCAATTAACCACCAAAAAGCTGAAATGGAGCTTTTGGCTCAAGTGCTAAAGTGCTACCCTTAGCAAAAAAAGCTCAGGGATATAGCACATAGGCCAAGCACACACACAAAAATAAATAAAAATAAAATTTAGGGCTGGGAATGTGGCTTAGTGGTAGAGTGCTTGCCTAACATTCATGAAGCCCTGGGTTCAATTCCTCAGCACAACATCAACAGAAAAAAGCCAGATGTGGCACTGTGGCTCAAGTGGTAGAGTGCTAGCCTTGAGCAAAAAGATGCTCAGGGACAGTCCCAGGCCCTGAGTTCAAGCCCCAGGACTGGCAAAAAATAAAAACTAAAATAATTATCCTCAGAAGTCAGGTATTAGTGACAAATGTCTAATGCTAACTACTTAGGAAGAGGCTGAGAGTTGAGGACTTAGGCTCAAAGCCAGTCTGGGCAAACAAATCTGAGAGATTTTCATCTCCAACTAACCATTCAAAAGCCCGGTGAAACTCAGCCTTGAGCGAAAAGAGCATCAGGCCAATTTCAAGCTGATCATATAGATATCACCTTCTCCTCCATAGGACTCCTTGAACAACACCCTATCCAGTAATTAACCATTCTCATCTTCATGTCCAGTTTAAAGCCCAGATCCTTAGACACAAGGTTCCACCACCTCTGCCAATCGGATCACTCACCTACACTTTTCTTCACATCTGCCCAAGGTTCAGTTTTTGTGTCTAGCTCTCCCATCTTTCCCTTACTGGAAAAGGATTCCTAGATCACTTATGCTTTGCTTTACTACCAATTCCATACTTTCGCTTCCTAGCACTTGCAAATGGAAACCACAAGACCTCTGCTGTTTAAAGCCCGACTTTTGTGTGTGGGTGTGTACGTGTACAGGTGCACCAGTCTTGGGCTTGAACTCAGGACCTAAGTGCTGTCCTTGAACTTCTTTTGCTCAAGGCTAGCATTCTACCACTTGAGTCATAGCTCCACTTCTGGTATTTACTGGAGATAAGTCTCATGGACTTTGATACTTGGGCTGGCTCTGAACTACAATCCTCAGATCTGATACCCGAGTAGCTAAGATTACAGATTACAGCATGAGCCCCCAGTGCCCTGTTTAATGTCTAACTTTGTATCTAGCAGATCCCACAGGCAGTGTGGGGCTTGCACATCCCTAAACTATCCTGTTCTGGGTCACAACAGAAAGCTTAGTCTCAAACTCAGCCGTTCTGGCTTCCACACCTAGTTCCAGGTTTCTCTACCTGTTTCCTCCTGTGGCCCGAAGTTTGATATGTAGGGCAGTGATGCCCAACTCCTTGCACCTCTGGGCCACATCCTGAGCAGCCAACATGGCAGCATATGGAGAGGACTCGTCTCGATCAGCCTTCACCTTCATCCCACCAGTCACCCGGCAGATGGTTTCTCTGAGGACAAAAGCAGTCATTAATTTTCTGACAAGGTTCAAAGTAGTTAGTATGTCCTAACAAAGAATGTCAATGGCCAGGTGCAACAGATGATCAACCTGAACATACCTCCTTGGACAAAAAGACAACTCCCCTGTCCTCACAGGGCTCACAGCTTAGTGGAGTCACTTGGTGAGGTTTGTACTATTATCTTTACTTTACAAATCAGGAACCAAAACTCACAGAAGTCACAAGAGTTTATTAATGGTAATGAGCCTGTACGCAGGGCTGAGATACAACCCATGGCTACCCCCACATGGAGTACTTAAATCAAGACAGTCATACTGTAAGATTATAAGGACACAGAATAAATTTTGCAACCCTTGGCAGATTACATTATTTGTGGGCAAAATGAGCAAGCATATTTCTTATACTTTTCCCAGTCCCTGGATCATTTCTTTCAGCCTCTCCACAGCTGGCTTTTATGCCTCTCCACCCAGGTACTCACTTGCCAGAAAGATCAGTGACATGGACAAAAGTGTCATTGAAGGATGCAAAGATGTGGCAGACACCAAACACATTCTCTCCTTCAGCCACCTGTGGTCCAAGGCTGATGACCTGTTCTTCCTTCTTTTCCTTCCCCTTGCGAGGTGCCATTTCTAAACAGAAGAACCTCAATGTCAAAAAAGTTTTTTGTTGTTGTTTTTTGGTCCAGTCGTGGGGCCTGAACTCTGGGCCTGGGCACTATCCCTCAGCTCTTCAGCTCAAGGCTAGCACTCTACCACTTGAGCCACAGCGCCACGTCTGGCTTTTTTCTTATGTGGTGCTGAGGAATCAAACCCAGGGCCTCAGGCAAACTTTTCTATTTCCTATAGCTTCCAATATATAAGCTGAGATATTTTTGTTGATTGGTCCATGGTGACAAAGCAAGCCAATTCAGTTGGACAGTAGAGATCAAAATAAAGTTAGGGATTCACAGTCTACCCATCTTACTTCAATGCTAGGAGCACCTTTGGGTTTTTTTTTTTTTTTGGTCGGTCATGGGGCTTGAACTCTGGGCCTGAGTGCTGTCCCTCAGCTCTTCAGCTCAAGGCTAGCGCTCTACCACTTGAGCTACAGCGCCACTTCCCGTTTTCTGGTGGTTTATTGGAGATAGAAGTCTCACGGTTTCTCCTGCCCAGGCTGGCTTTGAACCGCGATCATCAGATCTCAGCCTCCTGAGTAGCTAGGATTACAGGCATGAGCCACCAGCGCTCGGCTGACTTTTAGGTTTCTTGACTCTCAGACACCATTTACAGGCTAGAGTCAAATAAGTCAGGAAAACTGTATCCCTAAAGGCAAACAGGCCAAAATGTGTGTGCCAATAGTATTCTTTTTTTTTTTTTAAAGACTGTGTGTGTGTTGGTCGTGGGGCCTTAACTCTGGGCCTGGGCGCTGTCCCTTAGCTCTATCAGTTCAAAACTAGCCCTCTACCACTTGAGCCACAGTGCCCACTTCTGGCTTTTTTTGCTTATGTGGTACTGAGGAATCGAACCCAGGGCTTCATGCATGCCAGGCAAGCACATTACCACTAGGCCACATTCCCAGCCCGCTAATAGTATTCTTAAGACCTTGACAAGAGAAAAGGGTAGGAAATCTTCTTGCCTGAAGCCTTAGACCCTTCTAAGGGTGGGGGGAAAAACTACTTTCACAAGTCACTAGAAGTGAGAAGGGTTCCAATAAAATCAGACTGCACCCTGCAAATGCAAACAAGGGAACCTATCTAGGATCCTAACACACATTCTGCTGTGTCAAGATGAACCGGCCTCACAACCACCCTAGGCATAAACTTCTGCCAATTAAAGAGTTCCTAGATCTCATCCCTGAGCCTGCTTTACAAGACACACATGTTTAGTGTCTGGTCACAATATTCAACAATGCAGGCGTTGGGTGACCAAAATCACTTGCTTTTTAAGGCTTTAATAGGCACAATCTAGTGAGCTAAGAATTACAAGATGCCATATACAAGTTAGTCTGGGAAAAGCCTCGGAAGGTTCCACTGATCTAAAGTTCCTGCCCACCCAAGAGCACACAGCACACAATGGCCGATTAGTTACAAAATGTATTGACTTAAAAAACACCTAGGGGGGCCGGGTTCTCTGCAGTCACTCCTGGAATCTTCACTACACCACCTCGGGACGGGTGCTGTTATCCTTCCTGCTCTCCAGACCCGGACCCCAAGCTGCGATAAGGTCCACCATCGCTCCGACGGGAGCGCCCCTGAAGCACGCGGTGGAGCGGCGCGGGGCCGAGACTTAGGGGCAGATCCACACTCGCTCCCACTCCGCGAGCTTCCCTACGAAACGGGGCCGCCTTCCAAGCCCCGGCGCCAACCTGACTCCGGGCAGGCCCGGTTCCGGTCGTCTGGCCGCACGTCTCTCGCCTAGACCTGGCTTAGCTTCGGGGGAAAGACCCCAGGTTCGCGCCTCGGACCCCGAAACCCCCCCTGGTCACAGGATGCCAAACGATTGTCCGAGCCCAGGCCTCCTACCTGCGCGCTGCCGCTACCAGACTCCGCCACCGGAAAGAGAGGGCGGGAAGAGGCGGGGCGACGGGTCACTTCCGTGTCCCGGAAGTACCTCTGGGGTCAATAGGCGAGGCGAGCTTCGGAAGACGCCGCCTTTATTGTTAGGACTCGCCCTCGGGGAACGCGGCCTGCTTACCGGAGAGCAGAAGAGGTAGGGATCCGGATGGGCCGCCGGCCGCACGCTGTGCTACTGTAGGACGCAGGTAACTCGCGGGCGAGGCGGGCCTCCGTTCCAAGACAGCGTGGCCGCAGGTAGACCAGTTTCCGCTGTCCTGCCTCCCAGCCCGGTCTCCCGGCAGTCATAGCGCCCCTCGCGGCGCGGAAGGGAATAGCAACGACACCGCGGTTACGCAGCCGCTTCACCTACACTGTGTAGAAAGCAAGAATGAATTGCTCGGTACTTACTACATGCCAGCCTGCCCCAAGAGATACATATGCGTAAGACTCTCACAATACTATCAAACAGATGATTGCTTCGATTTCCTTTGCACAGATAAAGGATGCTATGTAAGATCACATTTGTGGCAGATTTGGGGTTCTGACTTAAGACGCATTTCATCGCCATTCTGTATATCCCTCTAATAGCAATGTTGAAGGATGTGGACTGAGAGAGTCTGTGGATAGAGCTATAACGAAGGCCAAGACATGTACCCAGCAGAGCTTGGCAAACAGAGGATACAGTATACATACACCCAGACACATATATACAACCTGTATGATGCAGTCTACATAGTGGATGCATAAAACTTTTTAAACCAAATGAGCTTTAATTCAAAGTAGTACAAGTTAGGGGCTGGGACTGTGGCTTAGTGGTAGAGTGTTTGTCTAGCATGCATGAAACCCTAGATTCTATTCCCAGCACCACATAAACAGAAAAAGCCAGAAGTGGTGCTGTGGCTCAAGTGGTTGAGTCAAAGCAGCTTAGGGACAGTGTCCAGGCCTTGAGTTCAAGCCCCAGGATTGGCAAAAAAAGAAAAAAAGGAATTAAAAAAGTAGTATAAGATCTTTTTATGCTGGAATTGGCTTTGCTAAAAGACTTCAGCTTAGTTTAGGGAAATTTTTCTTTAAAAGAAAAAATTGCAGTGCAGGTGCCAGTGGCTCATACCTGTAATTCTAGCTACTCAGGAGGCTGACATCTGACGATCATGATTCAAAGCCAGCCCAGGCAGGAAAGTCCATGAGACTCTTATCTCCAATTAACCAGAGCACTTGTCTTGAGCTGAAGCACTTAGGGACAATGCCCAGGCCCAGAGTTCAAGCCCCATGACCGACCAGAAAAAAAAAAGCAGTGTTCTCTTTCCCCTTTCTAAAAGCAGTTAATTATAGGAAACCCAGAAACCAGGAACTTGAAGAAAGGAGAACAGGCTGGGAGCAGGTGGCTCATGCCTATAATCCTAGCTATTTGGGAGACTGAAATCTGAGGATCATGGTTCAAAGCCAGCCTGGGCAGAAAACTCTGTGAGACTCTTTTCTGTAATTAATCACCAGAAAACAAGAAGTGGAGTTGTGGCTCAGAGTGGTAGAGCACTAGCCTTGAGTGAAAGAGCTCAGGGACAGCTCTTAGACCCTGAGTTCAAACTCCATGACCAACCAAAAAAAGAAAAACTAAGGGGCTGGGAAGGTAGCTCAGTGGTAGTATGCTTGCCTTGCATGAATGAGACCCTAGGTTCGATTCCAAAGCACTATATTAGGAGAAAAAGCCAGAAGTGGTGCTGTGACTCAAGTGGTAGAGTGCTAGCCTTGAGTTTAAGAGCTGAGAAACAGTGTCCAGGCTCAGAGTTCAGGCCCCATGACCTACAATTAAAAAAAAAAAAGAACAAGAAATAGACGTCCAGGCATAATTATGACTATTATCTCAGCTACCCACAAGATAGAGATGGGGAGGATTGAGGTTTGAGGCCAAGGTAGGCAAAAAGGTAGACCCTATCTTAATCAATACACTAGTCATGGTAGTTCTCTTATACTCCCAGCTACACAGAGGAAGATTTCCACATGAGGCACAAACTCAAGACAATATTCAAAATATAACTGAAGGAAAAAGGAAGTCTGGGAGAGGGTGACTCAAATGATAGGTCATCTGCCTATCAAGTACAGGACCCTGAGTTCCCCCCCCTCAAAAAATATGCCATACTCCCATTGCAACAATGAGATGCCCAAGTCGTTATGTCGAAAAATGAACTTTACAACTTTGAGGGGTGGGATGGGAAGGGATGGGAAGAGGAAACAAAGGAGGAGGCAACAATGCTTGATAAGAAATGTACTCATGGGGCTGGGAAGGTGGCTCAGTGGTAGAGTGCTTGCCTTGTATGCATGAGGCCCTGGGTTCCATTCCTCAGCACCACATAAGCAGAAAAAGCTGG